TGTTTGAGAGACTCTGGGAATGGAATAGATGTTACGTCAAATGCTTTTGAAAGCAAATCGAACCATTCTTCTTCATTGAGGTCTGGTATTTTGGCCGAAATCTCCCCTTTCCAACGCTACCAAGTTTTGTGTCGATCAGAGTCGGGAAGTACGTTTAAATGTGTTTCTTAAACACGACGACGTTCGGCCGGGCGGCGGCCCGTCGAGTGCTGCCGGGGACGCGCATGGTAGGCGGCCCAGCCCGCTTGATTCTACCCCCTGCACAATGCTAGCAGAAGATGCCTCAGCAGGTGTCTGTGAACTTTTCACAACAGAATCTAGGAGAGAGCAGTAAAAACTTTAGAATTGAGGAACATGAGGGCAAGCAAGCATTTCAATAAATAAATTTTACCCACAGGTGTAAACTGGTCGGGTAATTGATTTACAAATGACTGGTGATGAGACAAGGACAGGTAGAGGTGTTCTATTTACCATTTGTGAATAATTTGCATTAGATACTGACATAAAGCTAGAAGGTGCCACAGCAGGCGTCCTCAAACTTTTTACAACAGAATCTGGGATAAAACAAAAAGTTTAAAATTGAGAACTGGGCATGCAACCATTTCAGAAAATAAATTCTACTCACTTATATTAACTGGCATTGCAGTTGCTTTACAAGTGTCTGGTGATAAAACGAATACAGGTTGAGGTGTATTTATCAGTTGCGAGTAAGTTGCATTAGATGCTGACACAATGCTGGATGCCACAGCAGGTGTCTTTGAACTTTTCACAACAGAATCTGGGATAAAAAAAAACAACTTTAGAATTGAGAACTGGGCATATGCAACCGTTTCTGAAAAGAAATTTTACTTACTTGTGTTAACTGGTGGTGCGGAAACAATCCATGTTTTAAGTTGAGAAGTTGTATGTGTTGGTGATGGGGAGACAATATTGAGTGTTTTAACTGCTTCAGAGTTGGCTGAGTTCTCAGTATTTCCAGCAGATGCTGGGGGAACAATGGTAACTTGTCTCCGAATAATATTTGGTCTCCATCCTGCAACAGATTTTAACAAGCAGGCCCGCCCTTCCGCCAAACGGAGTTGCCAGCTCCACTTCGCTGCGCCGGCAACTCCGTTCGGCAGGGGCCGGGCCTGCTTG